ACAGTTAACCCCAGGAAACTCCTGTGCAAGATGGCTCTGAACTGCATGAGCCAGGAAGGATGGAGAAGGGATTTGTGATGATGGAAAAGGTGCAAAAAGGAATTCCAAACTGAGGAAACAGCCCAGCAAAGGCAGAAAGTAAGCGGTTCTTGTCACAAGGTCTGAGGACCTGCCAAGGCTGCTGGAGGTGGGTGGCGCCATTTCCACATGCTCCCCACCCACCCTGTTATTCTGGGGTTTGAGAAGGGACCTGACTCAAAAGGAGGTTAAAACTCCCTTGAGTCCTGTGGATTTGACCAAGAATCTCAGGATAAACAGAGATTATCAGCTGAAATCCCTCAAGGTCAGGCAAGTCCAGTTGTGAGGAGCTGGAACCAGCTCTGTTCAGCTCCCTCCAGTTGCTGCCCTGTGGGAATGAGCCCAGTAATGTCACATCTTTTCATTTTTTAAGTCAAAAATCCAGATTTCATTGTAAAATCTCCCAGAGTATAAATGGTGATACCTAACACACACACGCACATGCACACATGCGCGCACACACACACAAAGCAAAACATGTCTGCAGCCCCTGGGCCACCGTTAGCCTGCTCTGGATCCTGAACAGCATAGTAGCCTGGTTCTTGGCAGAGGAAGCTTAGAGATTCAGAGGCCCGCAGGGTGAGGGGGTGGGGTTGTCCGAGATCTTAAAGCCGATTTGAGCAGAACTTGGACTTGAACCTGGAATTCTGCCTCCAAGCCCAGTGCTCCCTCTATCAGTGGGCCTAAAATAGAAGTCTGACCTTTTCGTGATATTTCTGTGCTTGACAAATGCCAGAGGCATATTCATTAGTTCATCTTCCCAGAATAACTGGCAGAACGAGGCCAGAGGGCAACAAGAAGATCCCCACCTGCCCCCGAGAACCCAGAGCTCCTGGAAAGTAGGGGATGTGTTTTGCCCTTGTCCTAGGTCTGCCTGCTTCTGGAGCATCATGCCTGCCTGGCCTTAGGTCTGGCAAGGTGCTGGGGGAGCTTCTTGATGAGGCCAGAGAGAGCTTTAGAGGCCAGAACAAATCCCAGGGGGAGTTGAGGACTGGGAGCTTGAGTCTGTCCAGTTCCCAGGCGGCTTTGTCCTCCTTTTTTTCTCTTTTAAAATAATGTTCATAGTAGGAATCTTAGAAAATTCAGGCAAGCGCAAAAAATAATAAAACCACCTGGTTCTCTCACTGCTTCAGCTTCAATCTCTCCAAGTCTATTTTCTCTGTTCTGGCCAAGGGGTCAGGGGGAGCCCAAATTTTTCACAACAGTGGGAGCACATGGGACATGCTTTTTCTTTTCTTTTTTCTTTTTTTTTTTTTTTTTTTATTTGTAAGAAAACGAAATTTATTGCTTACAGTTTCAGAGGCTGGGTAGACATGCTCTTTCTAACCTTTCTTGAGCATTTCCCTTGACACTTAATCTTCTTTTATACCAGCCTTTTTGTTGGCCGCAGAGGATTTCATTATCTAGATGTATTAGGATTCGTTTGGCCTTTCCCTGATTATGGGACGAATCAGTTGCCTTCAGTTCCCTGTTCTACATACCAACCCTTTGAATATCCTTGTAGTTCAATATGTGGCTCTGCCCACAGTGACCCACAGCATGAATTCCTAGATGTAGAATTGGTAGATGGTATGAAAGTTTATATGGCCTTTGATCCCCATTTCATAGGCTGTTCTTGAGACATGCTTAGAGAGAGCCAAGAAGGTTATCTACTGGAAAAGCTCTCGGGAGGCCAGCTTTCCTGTACCCCGTCCCATGATCTCTGGTTCATCCAAGTGTTTGCAAGTACTCAGGAGTCCACGTGTATCTGATGCATGCCCAGAAAACCTCTGGCTCGTCCGACAAAGCCAGTTTATCAAGGCCCGCCTTGCTGGGGAAGAGCAAGAGCCAGAGGACAGGATGTTTCGGCTGTGGTGCTCACCTTCAGTTCTCTCCACCTCCCTCCTGACCTTCTGATGTGTCACACCAACTCTCAAAGCAGTTTCCACATCAGTTTTGGAAAGAGCGCCTTGAAATTGCAGGGAGGGCCTGGGCACTCAGAAAAAAAAATCTGTGCCTTTCTGGGTCCCAGTGCCATTGGGGAGACAGTGGAAAGGAGGGAAGTGGGATTTTTAGTAGCAGCAGGTGAAGGAAAGGTGCAGTCAGCGAGACCCTGCAAACGTGTGGTGGCAGAAGTTGGTGATTTTTTTTTTCTATTCAATTCTCAGTACATGCAAATTTTATTACCAATCTGTAGCTCAACCCCAACTCATTCCCCAGATAAAAGAACTTCGGTATTCTGACTGCAGTTTCAGCATCTCGTGTGCCACTCCACACACCCCACTCCAGTTGTCTTTGTGTAGTAAACCAGATGTAGGGTATTTTGGTAATAAACCAGGGCTTCAAAGAAAGCAAGAGAGAAGACCTGTGTCTTCAGGGAAGAGGTGTGTGGCCCTTGGTGGCAGCCCTATCTTTCATCTACTCGGGCTGGGGTCTCTGTCAGGAGCATCTAGAGTTTCATCCTGGCTCTGTCATGGCACTCACTGGCCCTCTGTTCTTGGCTCTGATGAACAGGCAACTCGGGAAAAGCCATCTTGACATTTTGATTTGATAAGGGGTAATTCATTTTCCAGGCAAGTAAACAGCTTATAAACTTGGGGGTTTACCACTTTAAGTGATTAAGAAGTAAGCAGCTATAAAACTGGTTCTGTGAGGCTGTGCATATTGTCCCCAAGGAATCCTCCTGAGCAGTGTTTGGATTTGCCGGATGTTTGCCATACTTCATCTGAGTCGGCCCCCCACACACAATATATCACATAATGCCTCTTCCTGAGAACTCCAAGTACGTTAATCCTGCTGTTCTCTCCACAAGCAGACCTCTGCGGTAGGTGAGGATGGGAAATATCCTCTACAGAAGAGGAGCTGCATGCCATTACATCACCCCCGAAACCTGGCTGGGGGTATAAACAGGGCTACCAGCTTCTAAGGAACTGATCCTCAGACAGAAACAGCTTCCCATGAACATTGGTACAAACAGCCCTTCCTTGATGGCCAGATGTGGGGTCCCATCAAGCCTTAAAAGGGAGACAGAGCAGCAGGCGCCATCTGTAGATGCAGGGAAGGAGGCTGAGGGAGGGGTGAAGACGTACCAGGGCCCCACAGCTGGTATGTGAGCAGAGGAGGGTTAAGTCCAAGCATTCCTGGGGCGGAGCCTGTGCTCATTATGCACACCAGGCTGGGCACACTGCTGCTGCTGAGGCTTTGCAGACCACACGGTCTCTGTGGCAATGTTCAACTTTGCTGCTCAGTGCCAAAGCAGCCACAGCCAGCGTGTAAGCAAAGGACCGTGGCTGTGTGCCAATAAAATTTTACTTACCAAACAGCAGCAGCACCCTGCTGCCCTCCCGAGTTCTGAGAAAGGCAAGGTCAGGACCCATAGGGCCTTCTGGAAAAGTATCAGTGGCAGCTGGACTTTGCAAGGGAGTGAGGTTCAGCCAGTGCAGGTGGCCTGAGCAAGGTCTGGGGCTGGTGTGGCAAGTGCACTCACTAGAGGAGTAGCAAGTCTTGGCAGGAATGTCCAGGAGGATTGGAGTCCCCTCTCTCAGCTGGAAGGAGGACTTGCCCCTCATCCCCACTGTGACTCGGTGCTACATCTGAATTACAGGGTAGAAGTAGCTTGGTCCGCAGGAACCACCATGGTCTGCATGGCTCCTAGGATTGTCAGGCATTTGCTCCGTGGAAGATTTTATGTATTTAGTGAAGTCAGAAGGCTCAGCCCTTTGGACAAGCAGACCGTAAAAAGGACAGAAGTCATAGTCTGCAGAAAAACCTATATCCTCTGGAAGAGGAGTTCCTGGGCTGGTTTTATTATAATACGTTTGCTGAGCTGCACCTGTGCTGGGACTTGATGAAAGTTTTCTCATTTTGGGCCGGACTGGTGGCGCACTGCTACAGTGCGCCACTTGAGAGCGCGGCGGTGCTCCCGCCGAGGGTTCGGATCCCACATACAGACCGGTTCCCGCTCACTGGCTGAGCGAGGTGCAGGCGCGGCACCGAGGGTTGTGATCCCGTTGCCGGTCCCAGTCCGGTACGGGCGCGACACTGAGGGTTGCGATCCATTGCCGGACACGAAAAAAGACAAAAAGAAAAAAAAAAAAAGTTTTCTCATTTTATCCCTCCAACACTGGGGTGGTGAGAGGAAGTAAAGATACCTCCAGCTCTTTGCTGGGGAACAGACTCAGAGAGACATGACAGCTGTTCACATGTCTGGGGCTTCTACTTGGGGAAGCAGTTTCACCCAGGTCTGTGTGGCTCCAGGATGACTACTCCCCAGGTGGGCTGCAAACCCCAGAACTGGGCATGCAGCCCCCACCTCCAGTCCCAGAGTTGCTCTGAGGACCATTCAAAACCCTGCCGTCAATAGCTCTTCCCCAGAGCTCCCACTGCTCCTGAACCTGACCTCCCTGGAACCACCAGGGCAGAGTGGGACCCAGGGTTCTCCCTTCCACCTGGCTATGACTTCAGAGCTTGAGTCCGGTGCCCTTCCTTTGGCAGAGTGAGCACAAGTCAGCAAAGCCTGGAGATTCTGCCATGAGGATGGCCAGCATCTCAGTGTGAACTTTATCAGGAGCCTCGGAAGCCCTGAGGCTGCGTGTCCCCTTCAAGGGCACAGCTAGTGCATTGCTGAGCCGGTATCAGGTGCTCAGATTTACAGCTCACTGCCCTGACCTTGGTTCTGTGGCTGGCTGTACCCTTTTCCTTGAAACAACTTCAGAGTGTGTCTAGGGTGGTCCCAGGACCAGTGAGGTCAGCTCATTCTGGGGAACAAAGACTTCAAAGGAGCTGGGTTTGGGTTGTTTAGAATTGGCCTTGACATTGAGGCCCCTGGGCCTGCCTTTGAAGCCAGGGCTTACCCCATTATGTCTCAGACACAGGGTGGGGGCATCCCCTCCTGCCAGGTCTTTTCTCCTGCCTAGTCACTCACGTACTGCCTTGTCTTGCAGGCTTTGCTGTGGCCCAGTGCATAAACCAGCACAGCTCGCCATCCTTGTCCTCACCGTCACCGCCATCTGCCAGTGGGAGCCCCAGTGGCAGCGGGTCCACCAGCCACTGTGACTCGGGCGGCGCCAGCTCATCCTCCACTCCCTCCATGGCCCAGAGCCCAACAGGTATTGGCCACGGGACTCAGTGGGGGGCGTTTGGAGAACCCCATGATCCCTCACTGTTGCCACAACCCCTGACACCCAGCCCCACCTCGTCACTCAGGGTGTTCTGCATACCCTTTAACGTGATGGTGCCCATGACGGGCGGATTTAGCTCCCAGCAGGGGAAGAATTACTCCTTTTCCAGGCTGGTCCACTGCGAGGCCTTCACTGACTGCAGAGCTGTCAGAGCTGCAGAGCTGGAGGCGACAGGCGGCAGGTGGGCCAAGCCACCCCATTGTCACCTCCAAAGCCTTAGGTGTTGTGAGGAGGGGTCCCCCAGAGGCAATCGTTGGAGCCCTGTGAAAAGAATTGTGTCCCTGCTAATTTTTTTTTCCCTCCATAACATACCAGTTTCATCTTTAAATGTTTGGTGGGATCAATTTGTCTGAATCAGGTGCACCTTACCGCCCTTTGGAGACTTTGTAGGATATGGAGGAGTCACATTTTGACAACCTTTAACTTACATCAGTTAAGATGGAGAAGCGAGGGAACCACAGGCAAGTGGGAGTCAGCCTGGAGATGTGCACATGGGCCCCCCACACCCATCATTCTCAGCTGCCATGAGCCACTTGCACGTGAGCGCCCTGCTGCACTACACACAATCTCAGGGAGTAATGACCCTGGGCTTGTCTGCTGAACGACAGGACCCCAGAATGCAGCCAAAGGAGCGGGGACAAGCCCTGATGGCCTTAAGCCTGCGTGATGCTTCCACCCCCAGTGGCACCACTGCCATGGGTGTGGAGAGCCCTGGAGACTGTGTCCCTGAACTCCCGGTTGGGAACTTTGGTGTCCTTTGCTCTTCCTGCAGGGTCCAATTTAGAGCCCTCACCTGTCGTATCTCAGGGGCACCTCACCCACCTCTCGTTAAGTTATGAACTGATGGCATGGGCCACTGCCAGAGAGTGCCAGGGCGGTTGAGGGCCCTCAGCGCCATCCCTTCAACACCTCTCTTTCCAGTGTTTTCAGCTTTTGCATTCCCAGCAAAGGGTTAACCCAGCCTGGTGTCCATGCCTGTGGCTCAGGGCACCCCAGCCTGTCTGTGGCCGCCCCACCCCCAACATCCATGAAGCATCCTTTACCTCCGTCTCCCACTGACATTCACAAGGCCCAGGCAGGAAGATCACCCTCAAGCCACCTCACTGAGACCCTCTTCCACTCACCACCTGCTCCTCTCCTTGCTCCAGGCTAAGAGGAGGTGACCGCCCTTTCTGAGCTATTTCTAAGTCAGATTTCAGGTTGGCTGCACATTCAAGCAGTGGTGTTATCTGTTCCCAGACTCATAGCTGGGAAATTCAGACAGAGCTTCCTCCAGAAGCCAAGAAGAGCCCTCAGTGTCCCTCCTAACCATGGTCTCATGGTTGCTCAGTGGCAGGCCTGCAGGGCTGTGTTCTTGTGCTCGTGTGTGCACCCATCTTCTGCCTTGCATGTGTACATTTCTGTGTCTGTGTGTGCACCCAAAGACACATACTTACAATTGCACTTGGGATGAAAGGTCTCTTCCCAATGTTGCTGTGGACACCTGTCTTTCATTTTTAAGGAGGCACTGCCAACAGCTAAGTGAACAGATGAGCCATTCACTTCTTTGGCTAAAACTGAAACCAGCAAAGACCCTTGTTATCAGAATTGGGCCTCTGAACACATATGCTCCCCTGAACGTAACAAGGGGCTTCAACTCTGTACCTCTCCCCGAGGCTGGGGTCTACAGTGTGTGCTAGTTTCTTTTTCCTTGTCCTGCCTCAGCCCCTCCATCCCTACCCACCCCATTCCCTGCACACTACCAACAACTTGTCTTCTCATCTCGGAAATCCAGGGGCTATTAGCCTGGCTGTCAGGTGGCCAGGCAGTTCCAGTCAATAAGTGACGGTCAGGACCTCCGAGGTGTCTGCTCCTGTTCAGTGCATCCCCGGCAGGCCTGCGAGGCGAGCGCACAGGTCCCCATTTTTTATTCCGCATGACAGTAAAAGCCTGAGGCCCAGCCTGCCTGTCCAACTCTGCAGACACCGAGATAACTCACCTCCTGATGAAGGACTGATCTGGCGGGCAGCTTGCACTTTCCTTTTACACAGGGAGATGAACGCCCTGGGACGCAGCTATTGATTCTGGAAGGAGACAGCATAGAGTCCATGAGCGCCTCCCTGTCTTGATGCTAAACTTCAACCTCCCTAGTCCATCCAGAACAAAACATGAGGGGTTTCCATGTTCCCTGTAGGAATGGATCTAACCAGATGGTCCCAGCATCTGCCCAGTGTCCTCCCAAGCCATGCTGGAGGGAAGCCAAGGACAGAATGAGGGAGGCAGTTCTTGCGGGGATGGGAGCCCTTCTGCCAGGTGCCGGGTTTGACATCAGCCTGGGTGGCAGCCCAGTGTTCAAGCTTCTGATCAGGGAAGGCTGCTTCTGCACGGCCTGCCTGCCAGACTTTCCACCTGCTGGGGGCCTGGGCATCATCTGCCAGAGTGGTATCCTTGCAGGGCCAGCAGGGGCGAGAAGCACCAGGGCCTCTCCTCCAGCCCATCCACCCTAACCTCCCGCTGTCCTCAGCCTGGACAGCAGAAGACAGCTGTAGCCACGCCAAGTGGCCACTTGTCCTCAAAGTGGTTTCTGAGGACACAGTACTGATTCAAAAGCATTCCTGTCCCTGTGTTTATGGAGCCTCCCAGGGTCTGGGAAGCTCCCCATTGTAGAAAGAAGCTGCCAGGCCCTTTGAAGCTGAAACTAGCAAACTCCACTGGTTGCTTTGCCATTGAAGCCATGCTTTGCACAGTCAGATGTTTGGTTGGGAAAGTGCAAGAGAGGTGCCATCTACCAAGTGACAAGACAGGCCCAGTTTTCCATGGCTCTGCTCCACAGTTTTGAAAACCTGAATTGTACAAGAACATCATTAAAAGCCAGGGGTCACCCTCACACTGTTCTAGCAGTTGGTATGGCCTGGGCACCACCCATCAGTGTGGGCTCCTTCCACAGCCACTTCCTGGCCTTCTCAGCGTGCACCTGCTACATGGTGTCCCAGTCTACGCTCCTCCCCAAATAGAGCCCCCCGTGTGACAGGCACCGTGCCTTAAGCACTTTACAGACACCCCTTTATTGAATCTTGGCGCACTCCACCTACACTAGACAGCTGAAGACACGGAGGCTCAGAGAGGTCATGCTGCTTGTCCTGGATGGTGCAGCTAGCAAGCAGGAGTCCAAGGTAGCTCCTAAGGCTGTCTCAGGCACCTCCAGGGGTGTCCCAGAACCCTGGCCTCGGTCTGGACCCTGTTAAGAGACAGCCCATGAAGTGCAGTTCCTCATCTGCCACGTACAGTCCCCCCAGCACCCAGTGAAAAGTCTCACGCCATTCATAAAGGACCAGTAACATGTGCAGCCCCAGCCAGCAGAAGGCTTGGATTGCGGGGCCCTGTGGGGGAAAGGCCTGGGTGTCCCCCAAAACCATCAGCAAAGTGGACCCCAGGCAGCCACGTCTCCTCTGCCAGCCCATGTGGGTTTGTTCCCAGATGAGGGAGTAAAGCCAACGGATACTTGGTTGGGTTTTCCGCCTCCACCATCTGCGCAGCTCAAAGACTTCCTGCCTGGGTTTGAAAGATGCCCATGTTTATCTCAAATACAGATGCTCTCAGCTTCCCTGGGACCTTCGATCTGGGCTCCTGGGATTTAGTGGCTCGGGCTGCCCCTCTTGGTTTTGTGGGTTTCCAGCCTGATCCAGCAGGTCCACCTACCAGACTGGCCCACGCCAGCCTCTCAGCCCTCTTAGCAGCTCATCTTTTAGATTTTTATCTACCTTGGGTTTGGGTTCCTCACCCCCACTCCCACAGTATTAATTTTTTCTAAATACTCAGGTTTGTGTTGAGTCCCTACTATGTGCAGGCATTAGGGACACAGGGCATGAATCTCATAGGCAAGCAGGGTCAGCTGAGGCCCATCAGGTGGTGTGTACAATTGTGAAAACGTGCAGGGGGCTCCGGCAGTCAGTGCAGAAAAGCCACAGGAGGCTCCCAGAGGTGGTGTCACTGGAGGTTAAAGCGAGAAATGAGTGGTTAACTAGGCCGAGGGTGCATGAGGATGGTCACCTTCAGATCTCACCCAAGTCCTCCAAGACCCAAATCCGCTATCTTGCAGGAGACAAGTGGATTTATTTTCCTCTTTTCCATGGGATTTACCTTTACAATCTGCCATTCTGAATACAGACTGGGGGTGGTTTGTTTTTGAGAAACAGTCTTCATGCCCAACAGTACCAAGGCCTGTGGCCCAGCAGTGGCATCAAGCCAAGAGGCTGAAATCTGGCCAGAGTCTGCAGGCCCAGCACAGGTGGCGGGCCCCTCAGCCAGGAGGGGAAGGGGTTGCTGGTTGCCCAGAGTACCCTCTGTGCCTGTAGCGCCTACCTCTGAATCTCCTTTGCATGTCAGAGACAGAGTTGTGGGTTCTCTTGAGGGGCTCTTTTAACAAGTTTTGGCCCTCAAATCAGGGGCCAAGAAACAATCCAGACTGAAGGAAGGGCCAAAACTGTGTCTCTGATGACCAGAGGAACCAACCAGAAAGCTGGGAGCAAAGGGGTTTTATTTTCATCGTTAGTTGTATATCTGTTAGAGCTGTGCCCAGGGTACTTTAATGGCTGGTTTCAACATACAATGCGCATATCCATCTTCCCTTTTCCTTAAAGAATCCCAAAGCGCTTTCCTTAAAGGGCAGTGATTTGAGATCCTGCGGTGCCTTGTGGGAAAAGCTGGACACATTGCACTGCAGAAGTGTCCAGGACCCTGGCATCTTGTCGGCCACACATCCAGCATAACCAGCCTGCTGGGGCTACGCTTTATCCCTAGTAAGAAAATTGCAGGGTTGGAATCAGCATTTTTCCCCTTAAGCATTTTATGGTTTTGAGAAGCTGAAATCACAGAGAATACATGGTGAGAAAGGGAATAGACACAACTTTAGAACCAAATGTGGAGCCAGTAGGAATACTAGTACCTTC